ATTATCTTGGAATTCCCTTTCATTTACACTAATGCTTTTGGTCCTTATTTATACTTTCATTTATAAATTTATTAAAAATTATTAGCATTGCTCTTGTAGCTACGTAGATCTGACCATTAGCTGATGATGATGTCTTTGTGAGTTTCATAATTGGAACTGTATCGTGTTCTAGTTCGTATTTAGATGAGTCTCCATTCTTTTTCACACGCTTTCTAAGGGTTGTGAACTTTCTCCGCCACGCAAGTTTCGTTACCAAACTTTATCTTCACTGTTAGCGAGAGATATTGCTACTAAACATTAATAAAAGTACGTTAAAATTAAAATCAACCTCTTCCTTCTTAAGTAACCGTCCTCCTAGTGAGCTACCCCCACTATGTAACCAGTGTTACGTATTCAGATATGGTATCTATGCCATAATTAACAATGATACAAAAACAAATAATATACAACGGTCTCTACAATCAAAGGCTTCCTATAGTTCATTAAAGCAGCTGCATTATGCTCACCCACGTACACTTGATTGATACTTGATACCAGCGATAAGCAACCGGTGTAGTGCTTAAGCATCGCGTCTCATTGTTTTTGCCAACATCAACGTTGCGTTTGTCTAAGTGACAAAAAAGAGATTATATCTTTATGTAGTAATAATCTTCATATGCGAATCTTTAATTGGCTTTAACGATTTTTTCCGTGTTTTATTTATTATTGTAGCCAAGCGGAAGAATAGTTGCTTCTCATATCGAATTTTTTAGATTTTTGCGACTGTTGCATATTGAAAATGAAACTTTTCGGATCTGAATTCCTTTTTTTTCGTTTTTTCTAACAAACCAATGTCGTATCGAGTTGTTAGGTTCTCGCGATTGTTACATATAGGAAATGAACCGTAACCATGGGACCTGTAAAGGGTCCGAAACGTTTGTTTGGTGGTCTTGTGTGAAAAAATAAATATATACGCGATTTAAATCCGAAAAATAGTTTCATTTCCTAAACCAATGTTAGCCGTGACCATGGGGCCTAAAAAGCATGAAACCTTGTTTGTACGCAATTTAGACCCCGAAAAATAGTTCAATTTCCAGTGATTGCTTTTCAATAGAGAGGTTGATAGCGAAAATGTCAGTGACAAGCACCTATGGCTATTTCTTCGAAGCTACTTACATTTGTGGGGGCTTAGAAGCACTATATTTCGCTAACGGTGATAGAAAAGAACATAATAAAACCTGCATGTCGAAAAAAGTTTACAATCTTTGGAAAACGTATGAAGTCATTCTGCTTTTTGACCCATATCCTCTTCTTTGAGGAGATGATGTTTATTTTACCTTAGGCGTCCGGCAAGGCGCTCTTTAAGTTTCAAATCTGATAGCTTGTTTCTGTTAGATTAATTACATCCTTATGCAGTTCGAGGCTACTTAACAATGTTGCAAACAACCTTTCATAAACGATCTGAGACCATTTAAGGATATTCATTGTGTACTTCGGACCGTAAACCAGATACTGATTTAAGATTGTTACACAATGGCGTAATGAAAATATGATCACCAAATATTAGCGATAATTTTGTTCACTCAGAATGTTTTGATGGATTGCACTTTTACATAATTGAATTTGTTATTGTAGTAAATTTTTGCGATTTATATCAACATGGTTTAAATTTGTTATTACATGAAACAATAAATTTCTAAGTTACGTACACTTGTGATTGTTCACTTGTTGGAAAACATCGTGTTGGAACCTACATTATAAAAGAAGATTAATAAATAACCCTTGAAAAATATGTGAAATTTGACTCGTGTCCAGCATTGGAGCCTACAATAGGTCGATGATGACGATGAATACAATCAGGTCTAAATACAAACTAGAATAGAATACAGTTCCAATACGAACTTCAAAAAGTTTTGTAACATTCGATGACACGACTAATTCAGTTTATAAAAGCCTAACAACGGCTGAAACAACGAAACAGAGCTTGACCATGTACACTGTTGTATTTTCGACTAGTTTCTCAATGACCGTTTGTCTTTTTTGTTAACTATGTCTTTGTCGTTTCTTGTGTTTAAATTTCTGTTTGTGCTTAGTTATGGTCTCTTATTGTCTTCGTTCGTTACGTATGCTTGCGTAATTCTTGTACCATGATTTGCAAACAATACTGTCGATAAGAGATGTTCTCTCGATATTAGTCTATTGGCTTTATGCTATGCTAATATTATATTTCTATGTATTTAGACTTCGTAATTTGCACATGTAAATTAGCTGTCTAGATTGGTTCCTTTTATGTAATTGTTTATTGACTACTGTCTTTACATTGTTAGATCGGAACATATGACCTTTAAATATTGCATGTGTAGTATCAAGTATAAATGGTTTGGTTGTATTAGCATGACACCAGTCTATTACATATTAAATTGATTTTGTATGCTGGCGATATGTAATGTTTAGCTCATTTATTATAGTCATTGCATCCTTAATGGAATCATTTCAAGCTACAGCTATCGCTGCATTGACATCATCATTATCTTCAATAACCAAATAGCCGTTATTCGCAGCAATCAATCGTACATTTTAATTATTCTGTGGGAAGCTCTAGCACTAATTTCATTGTAAAGCCTTACTCTAGTAACGTCCCATTAATCTTGTTTCCACACCATCGTTTAATGGAGTTTGGCGTTACAGCGTCAGACGGGAGCGGTTGCATTTACGCCTCGACAATTGCTTATTGACTTCTGACTTTATACTGCTGCAACGCTTTGTTAATCAACTATTATATATGTTCAATCCTGGTTGAATGGGATAACAGGGTTCAGATTATGTTGGTTTATTGTAGATCTGTTGAGTAACATGTACAATAGGCTGGTCGTTCCAGAGGCTGCCCCTGATAGTCACAGTTGGTGCATCCTGCGATGTATGGTACTACGTGTTAGCAAATTCTTTAGTCATGTTACGCCCTTGGAATAAATTTTCTTCTGTAGTAATTTCGATTTGAGAAATATGATTTTTGATAAGATTATAACTGTGAAATTTGAATTACGTAATTGTCCTGTCTGATGTGATGATACGAGCAGTCATCATTTATCTTAACTCGCTCCAATTCACGAATAGTTACGTGTTAGCCATTTCTCGCAAACCTGACAAAGTGCAATTAAAAATAACGACATTAATTTTTCAAAGTGCGTTGTCCAGCGAGATCAGGAACGGAAGATGTTATTTATTACAACATCCAGTTTGTAATATTATGCAGGTGCTGTGAATTAATGTCTTAAGACCGTATATGGCATAATCATCCTTAAATCGCTTTCGTTTTTATATTGCGCCGTAAACTCAGTGATTTGTTATGCAAAACAAATTTTCATACATAGCCTCGTTTTCTCTAATAGTTGAAATGATGATCGAGAATATACTAAATATCTTTTTTGGCAAAACTCGATCGAGAATATACTAAATATCTTTTTTGGCAAAACTCACAATTAATCACTAAGTGTTGTATTGAAAAGATAATTATCTATTATATATACTATGAAGGTTTAGGCGATTAACTAAAAGTAAACAAACTTCAGTTGTCGCTTGGTTAACCGTAACGATATTTAGTAGTGAGTTTCATACGTCGTATAACTGCTGTACACTTTAATTTGGTCGCATGTTATTAGCTGTCATCTTTATAGGCTGGATGTTAAGTTGTTTATCGTAGGAAAGTTGTGATACGTGTTATGTTGCCTATTACCTGAAAATATTATCATGTATTTAGAACCATTTTCAAAATGTTTGTTATAATTTTATAATAAGTAACCAGGTAATGCCTCATAAAATACTTCATTACGTTTTTTTACAGTTTGTTTACATCTAGTTAATTACCTAAACTTCATAAAAAAGGAGAAGGTTTAGGTTATCGTTCACAACCTTAGCACTATGCAAGTTGGGGATTTTATACATTTTCCAGTGTAAATCTTCTTCTAAATACAGTTTTCACGATGTTTTTCAACACCGTTACCGAGATATATATTTCTTCTGCACGTTCACAAATATATGCAAATTAGAGATTAAAGTCCAAGGTATAAGCTACCACAGGCATTTTTAGCATCGACCTCTCAATCAAGAAGCTACCGATATCACACTGGGCAAAAAAAAAACCATAAATGCATAATTGTTTTTTCGTCGATTTTACGTCATAAGCTTTATTGTTCTTCCAATATCATTGGTTCACTGATTTCTGCGTATTGTGGTCCAGATCTGGTCCATAAAACACAAAGGCGCATCGTTATGCAAGAGTAGAGCTAGTAAGAGGGGCATTGCCCGAGATAATGACGCATGATAGCTTATTTAGGATTTAGCATTTTGTCTTACGTCACATAGTTACCGAATTTGGTTGCTGCGATTCGTTAGTCTAGCGCCGGATGTATCTAATTTGCAGACGTCTTTATAAAAAACGTGAAGCCATGTAACCGGCTATTTATTAATCCCCGTAGCAAAAAGAGGGGAGTTTGAAGTCTATGTATTCGATTTGAGCTCAAATCAATGATCTGTGGATTGAAGCTAGTAAGCATCTATGTGTGCGGCATTGTTGCTCCCAAACGGCTGCATAGATGTTAAAGCGTTTCTTATTTTATTTAAAGGCTTATTTAATCGGTCTAGTTATTTTATTAGTTGCATTGCTTGACAAACATCTGTTCTGCTGTTTTTCCAGTTGGTCAAGAGATCTCAGTCATAAAACATTCGAATTGAAATTTTATCTGCTATCAGATGACATTAGAATAATTTTCTTACTTTCATCTGGTTGCAACCAGGACACTCTGGACACTACCCAACTCCTTAACTACTCTTCGCTGAACAATCGTATTTGGGCTCATTGAATTGATCTCGACAAAGGGTAGGTAGCTGGCTTACGGATCTTTTTGGAATACACTACGCGTACACGTTTTGATCAAATTATTATAACAGTGTCATAGATCTTGTAATTTTGCTAACTGCATTTCCTAGTAAAGAAATCCTAACGTGAAATTATTTTGTTTCAGTTGGTGGTAAACCTTGCTTTGGTGATATACCACGCGTTAGACTACCAGCACTCCGAAGATGAGGAGCGGCTCATCTCACCAGACCTCGAGGGCCTGATTACCGAGATGACGGCTTGCGAACTTATAGGTAAGTAGCAAAAAACTGCAATACTCAGCGAGGATTTTAGTCAAAATTATTGTAGATTTATTCTGTACAACTTGGGTTTTCGTTTTAAAGTGTAGGTCTATGAAGATCCTTACTGAAATCCAATTGTACTGCCTTGATAAAAATGCGTAGATAAAAACTAATTGGAAACGACTATTTTTTTGGATCTTTTAATACAAACACAAACACCGTTTCGGGATTTTTACGGGTCCCACAGTCACAGCTGGCTGAGATGCTATTGGTCATCAATCAGTTATGTATAATACTAACACAAACCACCTCATTCCAAACTATAGTTACAAAAATTAACTAATCTTTGACTTCTGAGAAAAAGCTGTAGTAAAAAGTGAACGAACTATCGACATTGCAAAACCACTCGATACACGAGCAAAACTTTAAAATGTAATACAATGCGAGGCAATCGCCTACGTACTAAAATGAATAATTTCGTTTTCTCTAGTGATGAACTTTCACCCCGTTGACCTTTGGGTTGTGTCACGTAGCCAGTGAAATACGGTTCAAGACTCGGCAACTTGGAAAACGATCTATTTTCATTTGCTCCTGTTTGTAGTATATATTTTGTGTTACACAATCCAATGTGGTATATTTTAGGGTTGCATCGGAAGGTATTTCATTCACTTAATGTAAGTGTCTATATTTATTACATTACATTGTGTCACACAATACAATGTTAGTCACTGTAATACGTTTTTATGTTATCGATATCATTGAAAGGTCATAATACTTCTTTCGGCAAATTCTTAACAGCTATTTTTGTTATATCACAAAATACAACGTTTAATTCTGTAGTACAATTCTGTTGAAACCCGTTCTGTATGTTGTACTTCATTGAACCAATTCTTAGCATCTATTTTGAATATAGTTTTTTTACAGTCATTGATCTTTGAGTTCGACAATTATTTAAGACGGATGAACTTGACGGTGGTATCAATTTCTCGTTATAGTAAGTAGTAAAGTATTTGTACATATTTTTGTGCAATGTGATTATCGCTTTGCACGATTTTATTTAAGCTGCCACTATCTATGAAAGTACTATTTTGATTTTTTTTGTTAAGTATAGACACGAATTCAATTGTTGAATTGAAAAGTCATCTTCAAATCCTCCCATGCTGTGATTTTGATGGATCGACGTGCGATTCAAACTCTTTGCTGTGACCTCTGTCGCTTGCCGTTATTTATAGTGGTATTAGTGTTTGTGTTGGTCCAAGTACTAATAAATTTTCGAAGTAAATAATAAACGAATAGGGTTTAGCTTTGAAATCCAATTCAATAGGCGTACGCCTATCTATATGGTTGCATTGCCACACAAAGTTTTAAATAGCGCCGCGCTCTTCACGCTGGGACATACGAGTAAAGTACGTAATTTCACCAGCACTTTTCAAACCGGAACGTTGTAATGCTCGCATTACTGCTTGGCGTCAAAAATAGGTAAGCTGGCATTACTTTCCTGGACGACATCTTTGACAGAAATCTCTATTGCTACTAAATAGTAAATTTTATGTAGATTATTAATGCTCTTTTTTGTTAAATAGTCTAAAGCTGTTTTGTGATTGAATTAGATTTCTTTATCATTACTGTCTTTTGTAAAATATTCGAAGTATGACATCAGGGATCAGTTGATAGTAAACTGGAAAAATTAGCATTAATCACAGATCCCTGTCTAACAACATTTTCTTCTCAATGTATGCATTGGGGCTTGGAATTGTTTCAAGTTTGTATGGGAGTAGACCGTGGGAATTTGTTGCTTACATTAACATTTGCTTACCCCTAATGTATTGTCTTTACGTTGTTAATTATATGGAATTGAATCCGGGTCAAGTTAATTATGTTTTTATTTCTAATTGTTTTCTTGATGATGGTAAGGAACTAGTAAGATAAGGAGGTAAATGTAAAATAAATGTACCTGTGTAATGTTTTTAATTCAAGAAGACGCATAAATTTGTCTTGGACTATCTTCTAATCTACCTTTTGCATACCAAGGAATAGCCGAAGCTAAACTGAACGAGCTCTTGAGGGTCTCATAGATACAATGGCGGGAGAATCACACAAATCTGCATATTATTATAGGTCTATTGCATTCCGTAAAACCTTTTACGACTTCCGGTTTAATTAAACTTCTTTATTTTACAGTGCGGTATCATTATAACTAAGACCCCGAAATATACTGACACCGTTCTCATAATTATTTTACTTTTGACCTGTAGGGAACAGTGTGTTTAATTTGAATTGTAGTTGAACTAAATCATAATTAAGAGCTTTAATAAAAACTAATATTTCATGTACAGAATTTCAATTTTCATTTATCAAATGTTTTTATCAAAACATGCTTTTTATTAATTTAGTATTTTAACTAGCATCTTTATTGACATAGACCTTTCTTATTTTTGATTCTGTTTTTTAATTTACCTTAGAATCAGAATCACTATCAATAATATTATTTTCTACCAACGTTAATGTATCCTTATTTTCTCATAGAGTTTCATAATGCTAATCTGTGTATATGATCGTGGTGTCAGCGCATGTTGCATACAAGGTAGTTCTTCATTCTTACTTTCTATCAACTTTGTCGCCTGTCAACCTTCTAATACATGCAGCCATCTACCCGACGAGCTGTCTACACTGGTGACATTTGGGCTCTAGTACTTTATCTACGACCTCTGCACCTACATCGCTTAAGCCACCTCCCACCGTGTTAGCTTACAATCAACGATACAATTCGTTCCGCCTGCATTTCTCATCCCTTTCCAACTACAGCCTAGCTCTCACGGACTCACTCAATCTAAATTAACTTGTCATATTTTCTGCTTTTCCCGAGTTGGCAGTTTTTGCAACCGTATCGAGACGTCTCGATTCATAATCGAGACGTGATTTCTCTACACGTTTACTTGCTTCCTCTCGTTTCGAAGAGATTTCCTAGGTGAGGTGTACACTGTGATGAATTTATTGCTATTTAATAGCTCGCACCGGAAAGGGTACCGTTTTATACTGCACTGTAATTTTATGCCAATCAAAAATCTACGCACCTGCCGAGCAGGGCTAACATGATTTTGCTGCTTCGTAGTAATTACACCATTAATTTTACTATTTTGACGTTGTAATAAGCACGAAATGCGTTCTTAATCATCATTACCCATAAATCACAATAAAACAAGACTTCCCTACGATACATGTAAATACTTTGAAGGCATATCTGAGATTTGAACTATCATCTTTATAACGAAGCAACGGTTTCCGAAAGCCCTTTCTTAGTTCCTTATCTTAACAAGACTATCTTGTATCGCGGCTGAAGTTCATGGCCACTCCGTTTTCTCTGACATATAACTGTTGTTCGACAAGTGTTCAAATCGAATCGAAAGTATCGATTTAATCGGGCGATGCGAGATGGGGTCAGTCGGTCACATGGGCAGGTGGATCCACCACAATGGGAGGAGGGGTATTGTTAATCGTTGACTATTTTAGGAACACTCGGACGATGACATTATCTTTATTGATCTGACAATCAATGATCGATCGAATCTGTATGTATCTGATGTATTATGATTTTGTGGCCGCCTCTCAGTGCTCTTTTTAACTGACTTCCAAAAAAAGGAGGAGGTTATACGTTCGGCTGTATGCACGTTTTATATATGTTTTCAGATTTCTCCGTCAATTGTAGACCGTTTTTGAAAATTCTTTTTTGTTTGGAAGTGTGCACTCTTGTGGTGGTCCCATTGAGGGGATTCATGGAAATCGAGGAAAATACTCAAATTTTAAAGACATGTACACTGGCGTACCGATTTTTCCGTGAATTGTGGACCGATTTTGAAAATTCTTTTTTTTTTAGTTCGAAAGGGTATACATTCGAGGTGGCGCCTGGTGCCAGCTATGCTGTTCCGGGTTTGTTTCGGCTATCACAAATTAAAAAAATATTTTCAGCGCCTAAAAGTTGACTTTTCACTTGACACAATACGTGTAATTAACAAATAACCGTCACCATGTCAACCAGAAAGAAAGTACAAAGGAGTACGTAATAGTCCCATTATCGCTAAGAAGTCCGAATCTGGTGAGGGGATCCCACGGAAATCCGAAAAACCCGATAATGCAAACATTTGGTGTCGGTTTTTTTTTTCAATGAAAAAGTTACAATTATATTATTATAGTAGCGCATTATATACATGGTTACTTGTAAAATATTAACAATCTCGCAGGACTGTATTACTAATATCTAAACAACAGCTTTTGCTCCATGACTGTTGACAAAACATAATTACCTTATTTATTTCTGCCGCCAAGCAGTAACGTCAGTATGGAATGTCTTTTTTTTGTGGTTTGTGTAATTTGTGGTTGTCTATGTGTGTGTCCATAGCACCCGCGACACAGGGTCTCCCTAGTGCGGGGCTATGTTGAGTGTGAACGTTATTAATTACAGGCACATGGGACTTGTCAATTTATACCACAGAGTGACGGACGCAGTGACCGTGCCCTATAAGATTTTTGCGATTTAAAGCTCTGAGTGGCTCTGCAACTGTTATGGATAGGCGTACAGCTTGCCATAAGGTGCACGACTTGTTCGCCCCGTCACTTAATATAAAAAAAAATCAATAATAAACTTTTAAGTTTCTGTTGTACTATTTAACACATTTTAGATCTATAACTTGGTAGTAAGTTGTTTAGCAACGCGTGTTTTCTTATATATTTTTTAATAGCGCAGAGTTATTTTGGGGCGGTCTATTTAAATATTTTTATTTTTGTGTAAAAGTAAAATGTGATGACTTATTAAAAGCGTCGAATATATAACCAGAAATAGAAACGTGAACTGTCATTTAATTTGTTTGAAAACTATTCTGTCATATCGTTACGGTGACAACTGCGTTCCGATTGGCCAGCCCGAATTCGAAACAATTGACGGGTTTCGTCAATTGTTTCGCTTCAAATCGACCAGTTTAACTTAAGCTTTGCCATAATGGACGAAAATTGCAAAA